CTTCCTTCCTTCCTTCCTTCCTTCCTTCCTTCCTTCCTTCCTTCCTTCCTATATTTATTTTGTTTTTTTTTTTTCGAGACAGGGTTTCTCTGTGGCTTTGGAACCTGTCCTGGAACTAGCTCTTGTAGACCAGGCTGGCCTCGAACTCATAGAGATCCACCTTCCTCTGCCTCCCGAGTGCTGGGTTAAAGGCATGCGCCACCACCGCCCGGCCCCCAACATGCTTTTCTTATATCTTCTTTCCTTCCTTTCTTCCTCTTCCTTTCCTTCTTCCCTCCCTCCCTCCATCCTTTCTTCCTGTGGTCAGGATTGAAGCCAGGGCTTTACCCATATTAGGCAAACAATGATCTGTACCTCCAGCCTGGTGTTACAGGCTTCCACTACCAAGTCTAGTTAATGTAGTGGGGAGTAAACTTAGGGCTTCAGGCCCAAGTACTCTCCAGCTGAGCTACATCCCCAAACCCTCATCTTTCTATAGTCTACAGACTATGACAGAACATTTTCCAAAGTTGGCTGCCTGCTACCGTCCTCTCCAAATGCTTTTCTTCCATTTGGCCTGGCCATTCCTCCATCAAGAGGCGGAATCACACCTTTGGGTAGGGCCTCCATCAACAGGCAGAATCATACCTTTGGGTAGAGCCTGGCCTTTGCTAACTTGCTTGGGTAACAGAATGTATTGAAAGTCACATTCTGAGGCCCGTTGGTTAGGTCATAGGCAGTCTCCCAGTTCCTGCTGGGTCTCTTGTGAACTCCCCAATGCCCTGGTATTAGGACCAAGTAGGCAAAGGAGTTAGCTTTGGAGTAAAGCTAACTGAGGAAGACTGTGGCTGGGTTTAGGCAGCTGTCTACACTGAGGGTCAGAACACCCGTTTATGGTAAACTATCCTTGAAGCTGCAGTTAGGCAGAAACTTAAGGTTCAGGTCATCGACCCACACATGTGCACCACTGCAGGGTCCCTGTTGCAACATCACTTGCATTGTGATTTTGACACCTGTCCCCCTTCTATGAGACTCATGGGAAGAAATATCCTAAAAGGGAGATCTGATCTGTGGTGGCTTGATTAAGAACGGCTCCCATAGCTTCATATATTTGAATGCTTAGGGAGTGGCACTGTTTGAAAGGATTAGGAGGTGTAGTCTTGTTAGAGACAGCACATCACTGTGTGTGGGCGTTGAGGTTTCAAAAGCCCAAGCCAGTGGCTCTCTCTTTCTGCCCTGTGGATCCAGATGTAGAACTCTCAACTACGTCCCCAGCAGCATGTCTGTCTGTATGCCACCACGCTTCCCCGCCATGATGACCACAGACTGGACTAAACCTCTGAAACTGTAAGACAGCCTCAAGTAAATGCTTTCCTTAGCCCACATCAGCCTCGCTTCATGGTGCTTGCTTTGCTTTGCTAAGTAAACTTTTGTCTAAACTGTGTATATACCTTGATCAAATTCTCTCCTTCAAGAAGACAAGAGTCCACTGTAAGAGTATTGGAAAACCAAGCAACTGTTGTTGGCGACTTAGATCACCAGTCCCCCTGTGCTCTTGTTGATGGCAACATGAATGTGCTGACTGGTATTTTTAGGCTAGGCAAACTTTCAGGCGACAGCCATTCATTCAAGCAGACACCAAATTATAACCAGGTGAGAGAATCCAAGAGAGAACTAAGCAACTAAGCCCAACCCATCGTCAGAACTTGATTGTTTGAAAGCACCAAATGGTGGGAACACAGCAGGAATATTGCCCAAACAGTATCTGAGATTTATATACATATATATGCACGCGCGCACACACGCACACACACGCACGCACACACACACACACACACTTTTTTTTTTTTACCGTGCAAATTCAATGCCAAATGCTGTGCGGGTCTCTGTCCCTCCTCTCTGCTCAATGTGGCTGGCGGCTTCCACCACGTCCTTTACAGATTTGTAGTCACTAAGGTGGAACTCATGTACCGCATCTTCTCCATACTGAACTATTCCGACCTGCAAACCAAAGCAGAGGGTAGCAGAACCATGACACTCAGACTTCCGTTTGTGAGGTCCCCTCTCCCAGGAGTCCTTCCCAGAGGAAACCACGGCCTGAGGGAAACAGGCTGTTCTGGGGACGAACAAATCAGGGCCACAGAGAGAAAGGGACTTGGTGATGAGAGGGAAGGCTCATCGGGTTGAACATCTTCCTTAAGAAGCTGGAGATTGAACACGGACTAGAAGTCTAAAGCATCAGGAGCTGGGACTGGGGAGAGCTCCAGTCGATAAAGTGCTTGCCGTGCAAGGACAGTTTAGATTCTCAGTGCCCGTTTAAAAGCTGTGTGTGGTGGTATCTGCAAGGCAGAAACTGGTGGATTCCTGGAGTTCTCTGGCCAGTCAGCCCAGCCAAACCGGTGAGCTACAGGTTCAATGAGAGACCCAGCCTCAGAAATGGACACCTGGCATCAACTTCTGGCTTACACACACACTTACATGTTTATATGCCCATATGTACATGAACACATGTACATACATCCCTACACCCCAGGCCCCACTTCCAACCCCAACCCAAATCCCCACTTCCCAGAATTTATCAGGAGCAGTGGATGGGTTTATCAGAATTTACCAGAACCATAGAGGCTGTTGACCAAACTCTATAACAAAGAGTCCCTGAGACTTAGATGAGAAGAGGTCTGACATTTTCAAAGTGGATAATGTTTCGGCACTATTAATAGCTTCAAAATAAACATGAAGCTATAGAGACTGTTTTCAGGGCCTTGGTGATAGTGTTACTGTTGAATGGGCTCACCAAGTTTATTGGGTCCAAGAACCCTTTGAATGCTGACTGCTTACGCCAGTGCATCAAAGACCATCTTCTGGTGGGAGGGGGCTTGTCACTGTAGGACTTGGCTCCCTTTTACCAACACTATTAGCTACAAGGTTTCTTAAGAAAACCTTTGTGTGTGTGTTGTATGTGGGGTGTGTGTGTATTTGTGTGTGTGTGCAGTGTGTTTGGTATCAACTTGTTGTATGTGGGGTGTGTGCTGTATGCGGGTGTGTATGTGTGTGTGCATGTAGTGTGTGGTACATGTGTGTGAGGTATGTGTACGCGTGTGGGCTGTGTATGTGTTTGCATGTGTGATATTGGGGAAGCTGGAGGAAACTCTCAGGTGTCATCTTCAGGACTGCCCCCCACCTCCTTTGAGACAGGGTGTCTCACTGACTTGGAGCTCACCAATTAGGCCAGACTGACTGGCCTCTGCCTTCCCGGCACTGGGATTATAAACACACCACCATGCCTGGCATTTTGGTGTGGATTCTTTCTGGATATCGGGTTACTCCTCAGGCGTAGAAAGAATTTCTTAGAATTGACACCTACTACCTTGGCACTTCTGTCACTTAGTCCTCATCCAGCCAAAAGACTGGGACATAAATGTAACCCTTGTCCACCAATGTTTCCCAGATGTGCTGGCAGCTAGAGTCTGCTCCAAGCCCATTCTCCCCAGCATCCCCATGCCCGATGTTCCCCAGCCTCTCTCCACACCCTTTCTATGCCTCCCCCACCTTTCCTGACTTCGGACTCTCTAGCTGGTCATCTTCGTAAGTGGAGTCAGGCCCTGAAGGCATCCTCAGTGTGCCCACCAGAAACGGGCACCTGAGGCAGCAAGTCCCAAGGCTGACTGGGCTTACCAGCTCCTATCCTTTCATGGGAAGATGCTGCCCAATGCTGTGGGGTCACTCAGGCTGTGTGTTTTCGGGGACCTTGCTCAGCAGAGGCGAGCCCTGGAGACACTCACCTGGATCTGGCCGGGTCCAATGTAGAACTTTTTCAGGATATTGATGAGGAAGTGTTGAACCTCCACCCAGGGGTAGATGCTATTGGAGCCGTCCAGGACAATGATGATGTCCATGTAGGTTTGGCACCCTGGAAGCAAGGATACAGTCAGGACCATCAAGGAACCAGCGTCCATAAATCTCCAACATTCTTACTCACTTAAAGAAACTTTTTTTGTGTGTGTGTATGTGTTGGTGCGTGCATGTGTGTGTGTGTGTGTGTGTGCATGTGTGTGTAGAGGTCAGAGGTCAGTCTCAAGTGTCATTTCTTAGGAGCCATTCACCTTATTTCTTTTTTTTACAGGGTCTGTCCTGTATAATACTTTTCTTATTTTTATTACTGTGAGCTTGGGGGGCTGCCATTAAGCCCCCGGCGTCTGTCCTGTCTCGGCTTCCTCAGTGCTGGGATTGAGCAGCATCATCATGTCTGGCTTTCTACACGCAGGCTAGAGACCCAGGCTTCATGCTCACAAGGTGAGCACTTCACCAGCTGAGCTGTGTCCCCAGTCCCAAATCTCTTATGTTCTGAAAGATCTTTTAGAGACCAGCGGAAGAATGACTGCTGGTATCTGTCATCTCCTACACGAAGAGTTGTCCTCAAGCTGGACATTTATTTGAGTCATATAAGCAAGGCAACTAAGATGTCCTGGTTCCACATCACTACCCAGTGGGCTGTTTGAACAGAGCTGAAATTGAACGTGATCTCTTTGCTCCACATCAGAGACTGATGGTCATTGACTGATCATTGCTTCCCCAGCCACTGCCATTGCCGGAATCAGGACCTTGGGGCTGTTTCCTTTACTGCTATGGGTAGGTGGTGTCTTCCACTAGCAACCTGGATGAATGGATTTCATGTTTTACAAAGGAATCATCAAGGAAAGACTGGGACTGTGCTCTCTGGCGTCAGCTCTAGGCCTTGCTACTCACCCGCCCTGTGGCCTGCGGGCAGTCACTTTCAGGTTTCTGTGTTGAAAGAGCAGCCTAATAACTAAACTGAGAGCTGCCATTAAGGGTTAATGGGAAGACGTTTCTAAAGACAAGAGCTCAATAAGCCTTAGATGATTCTATTTTTGCTCCCTTTCTTAAAGGCAAGATCTCCCGTAATCCAGGCTGCCCGGAACTAGCTCTTTAGCTGAGGTTACCTTGGACTCCTGATCCTCCTGCCCCTTCTTCCTCAGTGCTGGGATTGCAGATGTGACACTGTGCCCAGTTTGTTCTCTGTCTGCCTCTCTCTCTCTCTCTCTCTCTCTCTCTCTCTCTCTCTCTCTCTCTCAGCCTGGGTATCCTTCCTTCTCAACAGTCACACACTTTGGGTTTTGAAATAGTCTCTCACCGAGACGTGAAATTTATTATTTTGGTTCTCTTTTAAGTTCATTGTTTTTAAAAAGACAGCTTGTGTGGAGGAGGCCGGAGAGAGGCTTGAGGGCGCTTAAGAGTGCCTGTTGCTGTTACAGAGGATCTGGCTTCAGTCCCAAGTACCCACATATTAGCTTAACCATCTGTAACTCCCAGTCTAGGGCATTCAATGCCATCTTCTGGCCTCTATTGGCAGCAGGCATGCACATTGTATACATACCTGCATGCAGGAAAAATAGTCATACATAGGGAATAAAAATAAATAAATTTTGCTGGGCGTGGTGGCACAAGTCTTTAATCCCAGTACTTGGGAGGCAGAGGCAGGTGGATCTCTGTGGGCTCAAGATCAGTGAATTCTAGAATAGTCAGGGGAATGTAGAGACGCTGTCTCAAAAAATCAAAACTAAAACCCAAACCAAAACAAAGAAGAAAAAAAAATCAATCAATCGATCGATCGATCAGTCTAATAAATAAATATTTAAAATATACCTTAAAATTCTTAAAAATAAACAGAAAAGAACCTGTTTACAGGTCTGTGGACTTTTGGTATATGTAGTGTGTTTGTGTGAGTGTGTGTGTGTGTGTATGTGTGTGCACACGTGTATGGGTGTGTGTCAATATCAGTTGTTTTTTTCAATCTCTCTCCACCTTATCTTTTTGAGGCAGAGTCTCTCACTGAACCGGCAGCTCTCTGAGTTCGCTAGGCTGACTTGGCCAGCCAGCCCCTGGGAGCCTCCTCTGTGCTGGGGTGACAGGCACATGCCACCAAGCTCAGTTTGCTGGGGATGGAACTCAGGACTTCACATTTGTACAGTAGGTACTTTGCTGGCTGAGCCATCTCCCCAGTCTTACTTAGGTCTGTGGTTCTTAAACACGGCAGGCCCCTCCTCAGCCTTTTCCAAGCCCCCCTTAGTTAGAAACTTCATAAAGGGTACCTTGGAATCTACATTTGCCAAGTCGCAGGAGACTGATGCCCCGGGCCAGGGCAGGATGGCTCTGCCAGCAGCAGACAACTCCAGTGCCTGGACCATCCCCTGTGCCCTGGAGCTGCCTGGAATGCTGTGTGAACGGAACCCATGCCTCCCCACCCCACAGATGACAGCTGACTAGGCAATGTTTCCCCCTTCCCCTCCCCGAGCAATGGGTGTTGAGGGGAGGCTGCCTGAGCCAGAGGTGCTAATCCCCTCGCCCTCTATAAACAGGCAACAGCTGCTTGCTGAGGGTGTTTAGCCCAGAGGAAATGGTGAGGCTCAGAGCCAAGAAGTCTAGGCTTCTAGCTCCCCAAGTTTACTTGGGAGGGAGGGGTAGGTTTTGTGTCCACGAGGCTCTGGGCAAGCTGCCCAGGAGCGCTGACTTGGTGGAACTGTCACCCAGGTTATTTCTGTTCTCCTTGGCTCTCCACTCAAGCGCTTCTGCACTGCAGGATGTCAAGAACCAGCATTCACACTGTAGTCTAAATGAACGATGCCCCAGCCTGGCTTGTTATACATGGTGGCCTGGCAACCTCCTCCGTGTTCAAAATTCTATAGGGAGTTTCTATGGATGCCAAAATAGTTTTCATAAATTTAGCTAATTTGTTACCATCACACTGTGGGGGAGGACAGCCTGGGATGAGAACCTTCCAGTGGCCCAGCTAGAAGGGACTCCTCTGCCATGTTAGGAGAAGTGACTCACTCCTTTCGGATCATCCAGAGGGCTGAAGCAGTCACAGAGCCCGCATGCTGCTCTGTAGGTACAAGGTAGCCATGAGCAGAGCCCTGTGCCTCCTCCCTGGACTGCCCCTGCAAAGGTACTCACTTTGAAGTGCTGGAGCCACTGTCTTGGAGAACCTGAAGTTGGAGTTGACTCGTGAGCACATGCCAGTGGTATAGTAGGAGCTTCCACACTCATGAGACCAGAGAGGGCTGCAGGCCTGCAAAGCAGCACAGCACAGTCATGGGACTTCAGACAGGGTCCAGCCTCGACCTCCAGGGCCCAAGACAGCTGTCTTTATGGGCACAGGCTTTCCTAGTGTGAGGGGTCTCCATGTCTCACTGAACTCTCTCTTGCTGCAGTGCCCTTGGCTTCAGGTGGAGTGGGCGACAGTGGAGCCTCGATCCCTGTCCCATTCTCCACCATGTAATCTAGGGTGGTAATCTTCCTCCAGCTACACCCCATGGGGTCCGAGGAAGCCCTTCATCTGCAGGAGTGGGCCTTCCAAGAGTCGCTAGGCCGGCTCTTGTCTGCAAAGGCCCTTACTGGGCCAATTTCCAGGGCTGGGGTCCAAGGACACTTTACTAAGAGGAGAAGACAAAGAATGCCTCTGCTCTGTGGAGTTGCCAAAACCACTGTGTCAGGCTCTTGGCCAAGGGCCAAAGATGAGTTTCCCTAGGAGGCAAGGCCACCAAGAAGGAGAGTCCAGCTCCTGTGTCACTCTCCAGGGATGGACACAAAAAGGCTCAATCCTTCTACCTTTCTGGACTGTTCACTGAAACGAAGGGCCCAATCAGCAGAAAGACCCACCCCCATGTAGGATCTGCCTGTGTTGTTGAGTAGGGATGTGCCATCTGGGGGGTGAAAGGGACACGCATGCAAGGGGTGTGCAGAAGCTTGTGTGGGGGCCTGCTTAGCTAGGTCTCCCCACACCCTGTGCAGCGGGTCTGTGCAGGGGGGGAAGGCTGGGGTCAGCAGTGGGATGATAATCTTACCAGGAAGCTGTTGTCCTTGGGATTGGTGGCAAGGCTCAGGCCGAGACGCATGTTGTCCTTCCTCTCAGACACATTGGACAGAGTGACCCTGCCTGGAGCAGAGGAGAGACCCTTAGCCTACAGCCACTTCTGCTTCTCCTCTGACCAGAGCTTGCTGCAGTGGGTCACCTGAGGTGAGCCCAGCCCTTGCTCGCCCGGAGGGCAGCACGGATCTTCTTTAGGTGTATCCTTCTTCCTTCCTCAGTTTCTGGTAGATGAACACACTGACGCTCACAGAGTCCTAGAAACTGCACAAGGCTACACAGCAAACTGCAGCACCACCTTCACCTCCTCGTCCAGAACTCTGCCTTCTCCAGCCAAATAACTGCACCCCAGGCATACCACAGTGCCTGCAGAGGTGACTTTCTGTGTACAGGGACCCACCCACCTGGGACCCACCCACCCCCACCCACCCACCCCCACCCACCCCTTCCCGCAGCACTTACCATCTGAGGTCAGTCCTCCAACACCCCTTTTATAACCACCTGTCCACTTGCCATGTGCTGAAGGTCCCTCACAGGGAGCAGCCCCCGGGGGGGGCGCCGCCCCGCCCCCGGGGGGGGGGGCCGGCCGTGGTAGGGGCAGGTAGTTCTGTGGCAGTACAGAAACCACAGGACAAACACATAATGAAAGGCCTCTAGAGCATCCTTTCGGAACACAGAAGGGACAAAAAAGAGCTTGGAGTCCTCAGAAGCAAAGTGTGTGTGCATGCGTGTGTGCACACATCTATGTGTGTGTGCCTGCATGTGTGCAGGTGTATATGTATGTATATGCCTGTGTGCATGTGTATATGTATGTATATGCATGTGTGCATGTGTATATGTGTGTGCGTGCATGTGTGCACGTGTCTGTGCATGTGTGTGCACATGTCTATGTGTGTGTGCTTGTGTATGTGTGTGTGTGCGCAAACATATTTAGGAGACAAGGAGTGGGAAAGGCTGAAACCTGTCAGTCCTAAGCTGCTGTTTGGAGGCCCAGCTGTGTTGGAGACTGATGTGTGATGAGTGGCCTGGCTTCCAGAGCACTGGTCAGCAGGACTGGGGGCAGACCAGGGCCAGAACAACAGAGGTGACCATGACTGCTATACTGCAGCACAGACTGTCCTGAAGTAGAGGCAAAGCAGTTGCTAGGTCCCTTTCCCCATCCTTCTCTCAGGTGTTTGTTTGCGCTTTTTTTGGATAGGATCTGATATAGCCCAGGTTGGCCTATAAATCATTGTGTAGCCAAGGATGGCCCTGCACCCCTGGTCCTTGTGTCTCTGTCTCACAAGGGCTAAGATTACAGCTACAACGCCTCAGCTGTTAGATGCTGGAGATGGAAGCCGGGGCTTTGTGCATCCTATGCAAGCCCTCTGCAAATGGCCACATTCCCAGACAGTTATTCAATGCTCTTTAGAGTGCAGAACAGATCTAGAATAGATTCTAGGGTCCATCAAGTCTACCTCTTTACACCTGAGGAAACTGAGGCACGGAGACAAATGGAAGACAATGGAAGCTTCCCAGGGACACACTTTGGGAACTGTCCAGCTGGGAGGGGAAGCCCTCTGAGGTCAGTCTTTCTTAGCCTGTGCCTCCGGAAGAGCATGATGGGAACATTTACGCCACCAACCTGACTCCCTTCTGCTGTGTTTTCACTAAAACTTGGGCCCCAACAGTTCTGGGGTTTGAGTTCTTCACTCAGGGGGTTCCTGGGAGCCTGCAGCATCATGTGACAGACAACCGGAAACCCCAGGAATCCAAGCTCTTTGGGATTTCTCTTGGATGGTGGCCTTTTCCTCCATCTCTTTATCTCCAGAACTACAACTATCTCTGCTTGTGGGTTGACTGCCCTGCTGGGGCCCTCCTACTTGGATCCTTGTGTGAGTTTCTAGGGCAGGGGCACCCTGTTGGAGGAGGGGAAAATGCCTGAGAAGGCCAGTCTTTCAGGAAAGGCCCTAGAATTGTGGCTTTGTGGCCCATGTAGGGTTTTTGTCTCTTTTGTGGGCAGAGCAAGCTCAACCACTGTCTGCCCTTTAGAACAAGATGGAAGTTTTTAGTGGAGTGATATGTGTGTATGTGTGTGTGTGTGTGTGTGTGTGTGTGTGTGTGTGTGTGTGTCCAGCATCTCCCCAGCTCTAGCACAGGCTGGAGAGTACTTCTAGGAGGTAAAGCTTCCATTTGGGCACGCAGCTGCGTGGAGGTTGCAGGGTGGCCATGCTGAGGAGTTTGGAATCCTAGCACACTGCTTACTAGCCAGGTGGCCCTGGGCCTGTCCCCTTGCCTCCTCATTCTGTCACTTCCTCATCTGCTGGATGGCTCAATCTCACTCTGTGTGGTGGGAGCTGAGTGAGCAGGAATGTCTAGGAGGGTGTGGCCAGGCCTACCCCCAGGTGCACGCTGTTGATGACGCCTAGACACCGATCTAGCTGCTGACACTCCTGTTTCAAGATCAGAAACATAAACACATTTGTTCTGCGGGGACTGAAAGTCCTGAGCACGTGGGCAGCGGGTGGGTTTAGAAGATGCAGTGTGACACTGGAGGCCTGTGTCCTGCACAATGGTTGCAGGATGGCCATAAACCTGGGCTGGCTCCTGTAAACGGCGAGCTACGTGACTGAGCGAAAGATGCCCTGTCTCTTAGGCCTCAGGTTCCTTCTCTGTCTCCGTTTCTCTGTATGTGTGCATGTGTGAGTCAGAGTGCAGCCTTCAGTGTCTTCCCTGGGGCACTGCCTACCTTTGTTTGAGACAGGTCTTTCACTGGCCTGGAACTTTCCACAGATGCTAGGCTGGCTAGCCAGTGAGTTCTGAGAATATATCTATCTCAGCCCACTGGGATTGCAAATGAGCACCACCGTGCCTGGCTTTCTCTTTCTTTAGATGTTGGTTGTAGAGTTTGAACTCAGGTCCTCATGTGTGCAAGGCAAGTGCTTTACTGTCTGAGCCATCTCCTCAGCGCTAGCTTCCTCGTTTGCAGTGTGAGCCCGGCGATGCACCTCACAGAACAGTGGGAAGGGGACAGGTGACTGACAGTGTAGACGTTTGTCAGTGTCTGCTCTGTATGGAACACGGACTGAGAGGAACCGTGTGACTAAGGACATCGGTGTGTGCCAGACCCTGCTCTGTACCTGAGGGGCCGTCAAGAAGAAGCCAGTGGCTGCTTACCCAGGTTGAGCTTGGTGCAGTTGCCTTGTGTTACTGGACACTTGTACACATCGCCTGTCTTCTGATGGCCATTGGTTTCCAGTGGGGCACCCACAACCAACCTATGAAGGGAGAGAAGAGAAGCCAAGTGGTTGGGGGACATTTCTTCCCTCAGAGGCTGGCCTTGGTGGTGGCTGGGGAGGAGGAATGGGGTGGAAGACTTTCCTGATGAGGGAAGCTGGGCTTTCAGTACCAAGTTGGGGAATCTGGTGCCAGGTCTGGGGATGCAGAGGTGAAGGCCTGCAGCGTCCATAGGAGGGGTGGTGGAGGGGAGAAGCTGAGGGCATGAAGGTGGTCACAGTGCAGGGGAGCTGCAGGAGCCTCGTTCCGTTTCGTGGGGGAAGCCCTTCAGCTTGCTCAGCGTGGCTGAGGAGTATTGCTCAGGGCTCATTAAGTTTGCTTTAGGTGGTCAGGGCAGCCAGAAGGAGGAAGGGACCAGGGAAACCTCCTATGCTTGTCTGATGCTATGCGGAGGGAGGCCCTTTGCAGATGGACTTAAGGCAGAGCTCCAGCTTGAGATAGTCTTGAAGGACCCCAGTGGCCCTATCACCTACGCAGGTGCTTTGTGAAGGACACACAGAGAAGAGGCACAGGGAGTAGAGGAGCTAGGCCGTCAAAGATGCTGATGCCACAACTGGGGAACACCAAGTGCCCCTGGCGTCTTGAAGGATCAAGGAAAAAGCCTGGCCCAGAGCCAGCAAGGAGGCAGATTTTGTCTGTGGGAGAACCTGCTGTTGAAGCCACCTCATTTGTGAGGCTCTGCAGCCTCCCCCCCCCCACCCCAGGAAGAGAACACCTTGCTCACAAACACACATTCCTAGGGAAATGAGCCACACACAGTGCAGAGGGGGACAGCTTGTGGAGTTGGGGACACACATATACAATAGCGTCCCCCGTGGGTGGTGAATTCCACCCGCACATGATGGCTCTGAGGGTGCCCAGATGTGCATTCTTGGCCTATATATCTCATTCCCAACCTCCATGGGGCAATATTATCCCAGGAGGCCCCAGGAGCCTGTGTCTGGAGATGAAGCCTAGATAGCCACCTGCCACCTATCAGTGTGTGGCTTTCTGGTACACCTGGAGCCCTCTGGGCCTTGGGCATCAGTACAACTCTCTGCTCAAAGGTTTGCAGCTAACAGTAAGCTAAGAATAGTGGACTCTGAGCTGGGGAGATGGCCCGCCCAGTTGGTAAAGTGCTACTGCTCAAGGATGAGGACCCAGGTTTGAGTCCCAGAACTTGCATTTAAAAATCAGGACTGGTAGTGTATTCTTATAACCTCAGCATCGGGATGGGGCGGTGGAGATGAGTGGATCTCAGGGACTCAGTGGTCAGGGAGTCTAGCCTAATTAGCAAGCTCCAGGCTAGGGAGAGGCCTGCAGCAATGTAGGTGGTGCCTGGAAAAAGCAGCAGGGCTGATCTCTGACCTCTACACAGATGCACGAGTGCTCAAGTACCCACACATAGTGTACACACACACACACACGCACGTACACTCACATATGCACGAGTGCTCAAGTACTCATACACAGTGTATGCACACACACACACATATGCATGAGTGCTCAAGTACCTGTACTTAGGACTGTACACACACACACACACACACACTCCTTTCTGGGGATAGTGTGTTGTCATGGGATGGATACCCCAGCTCACCACAGCGAAGCTAGCAGATCCTGAGGGTTGCAGAATAGACAAGAGTAGGACAGAGGAGACAGGCAGGAGCCCTCCTGACCCTGCTCTTACGGTAGCTGCCCACCACACTGCCTCTGGGGCTGTGACTACACAGGATAGCAGCGCCTCCTCATGGCCGGGTGTTCCACCTCCAAGCTGTCAGAAAAGGATGCCGGGCTGAAGGGGGCGTGGCAGAGCTTTGTCAGAAAGGAAATGTCTGTGAAGTGAGAGCTGAGGTTTCTCCCCAGGGAGCCAGATAATGACAGCCTCTAAATATAGCCCCTTATTAGGTGTGCCTGAGTCTGACTGGCAGGGGTTAATTGGGCCTATAAAATCTCTTTGTCTAGACAACTTTTGGCGACTTAATTCTGGGACAGATTGCGTAGGCAGTGCTGCTCGTTCTCCCAGAGAGAGGGAGGAGGGTGAGGGTTTTTAGAGGAGCGCAGACACCCCAAGGAGGACCCGCTGCAGCATGCTCTAGATTAGGACGGCCACCACATCTTCTAGGACATCCGTCTCCATGTGTCTTCCAGATCTCACTCCCAGCCTGCCCTGGGTGAACCCCCTCACTGCACTTCCCACTTCCAAATGGAACCCTGAGGTCCAGGGCTACTTGGAGGGTCCTGGTAATAGATGAGGACTTAGTTGAGAATCCCAGAGCTGGATCTCCATCCTGGTCCTGTTGCCACCTTACTGCATGGTCTAGAGAAATTTGACCAGCCAAACCTCGGTTTTCCTAGCTGTGAAATGGGGCTAACCATTGCCATGCTGCCAACCGCTCACAATTTCACCAATGCTAAGGGACACTGAACTATAGAAGGGGGACTGGGAAAACTGTCTATGGAGACTGATGACCACTAGCAGCTGATCATGTGTCCTGGCAGTGGCAAAGATGGAGCAAAATGGCCGTAAATTCTTAAGTCCTCATGAATAAATCTGCAGCAAGACTGGCTTTGGGTTTCTCAAAGAACAAGAGTGATTTCCTATGTCCCATCTCCAGTTCTCCCAGAACTTATTTCTCTGGGGGTTCCTGGCACTTTATGGGGAGCAAGGCAGGCTTTACTGTCCCTATAATACAGATGCAGAAATGGAGGCCCTGAGAGAGAAGCTGACTGGGCACTTAGTTTGTGGCAGGACTGGGACTACCGGACTCATGGGATAACTTCCTCTGTGGTGTTCCAAACAAAGTCTCTACCAGAGAGGAAGACTGGGCCACCTTCTCTCCCTCTGGAGTCTGGGCATGACTTGTGCCTAGTGGGGTTGAGGTTTGGAGGGAATGATTCAGGCTTGCTCCGAGGGGCTAACTGCTGAAACTTTGAGGAAAGGTCCACGTCATCGCCAAGAACAGCCAAATTGCTCCTGGGGTCTGGCAGCCCTGCCACCCCCTGTGGCCTCAGCTTTATATAGCTGCATGCAACTTCAGAGCCCGAGGGGCCCTTTGGGTTGGATACTCAAGACCTTCTGGTATGGGTATCAGACAGCACAGGAAACCAAAAGGTTGTGGCAAATGTGGGCCTTCCATGGCTGAGGCCATGCGTCAGCAGCTGTGGGCTTCCAGCATTCTTCCCCGGGAGGTGATGGCCGGAGAGCTTTGGCTGGAGGGAAGCTGGCGTCCAGACTGTAGCTGTGGGCCTGTAGGAGCCCCTTCCCCCGGCGGGTGCCTGTAAGTCCTCCTGTGAACAGCTAGGGCTCCTGGGCTCCCAGCAGGACACTGTGTGTGTGTGTGTGTGTGTGTGTGTGTGTGTGTGTGTGTGTGTGTCTGGCCAGTAGCCTGCCCTCCCGACATCACATCTCATAGCCTCTCCCGTGAGACTCCACGGGATGCATCCTCACATCTACTTAGCACAGGCTGGGATGTGACTTAATTGGTCAGAGCACTTGCCTTGCAGGCAGTGATCACCTGATCATGGTCCCTAGAAACTTTCAAGCATACCCCACCCCGCCCCATCAGAAAGAAAGGCATGGTGGTGTGTGTCTGTGACCCCAGTCAGTACTTGGAAGTCAGAGACAGGCAGATGGATTCTTGGGGCTCACCGATCAGCCCATACTAGCCTGTTTGGCAAGCAGGAGATCCTGCCTTAAAGAAAACAGGATGGATGGTGGCTGAGGAACAGTAGCTGAGGTTGTCCTCTGGCTTTCACATGTGTGAGCACCTGCATACATGCATACATGCACACCCTCCGCCACATCACTGTGCTGTGAGAAACACGGCAATGAGGAGCAGATTCTTGTTCCCAGTTCAGGTGGTGGGTAGAGTGCTAACATCATGTGCATCATTCCCTCCCTCCTTCCCTCTCTCCTTCCCTCCCTCCCTCCCTCCCTCCCTCCCTCCCTCCCTCCCTCCGTCCCTCTCTCTCATGTGTGTATGCCGCAGTGCATGCGTGGAGGTTGGAGGACAGCTTGCAGAGTTGGTTTTCTCCTTTAATCATGTGGTTCCCAGGGATCAAACTCAGGTTGTCAGGCTTTGTGGCAAGCACTCTTACCTACTGAGCCTCTCACCTGCCCTTTTCTGTGGTTTAACTGGACACCGGGATCCATCCCCCATCTACTCTTTTGCTGTATGTATGTCCTACTTACAGCAGCCCCTTGAGAGGGAACCCTGCAATCCAGATGTTTCTAGGTACCTGGTAACGGGTGTGTAGACCGCCAGAGCTGGAGGAAAACTTCCCTGCAGTCTTGAGCAAGGACAGACTGGGTATCAGGTACAAGGACAGGCAGAGAAAAAGCGTGTTACGACTCAGTGTCCTGCCTCTGGACTTCACCCAAGTTGAAGAAGGTAGAAAGCCGGTGGGCAGGGACCAGGCTCTAAATGTAGCCAGTTCTTTTATTGCCTGTGTCTGCCAAGGCAGGTGTGAGCAGCTCAGCTTCCACACAGATGGTAGGAGCCAGAGCCCATGAACATTAGAGACTATTGGATGTCCAGAAAGCCAGAAGAGAAATTCCAATTGAGAGTCCGGCCTCTGCAGGGGATCCCAAGTCCAGGGCGGGTAAGAACTACTTAAGAAGGGCAGACTTAGGCTCAGTTCCCTCCCTGGGCGTGATAGTGCTTCTCAGCAATGCTTACACCTTATATCTCTCATATATATCATTGTGTATGCAGTGTATGGACACATGGGTTTGATTACGAAGTCAGTCGTACTCATTGGAAGCCTGCCTGGGGCAGTTTCAGAGCCAGGACTTCAGGTTCAGTGTTCCTTCCCCACTGTGAAAACTTTAAAAATTCGGAGTGGGGACAGAGCTGCCTTCCGTAAGGCCAATGGTCCCATTTCTCCAAGGGCCTTGGCTTCTCTCCTCTCTGGATTCATCCCTTCATCATTTGGTCTTTTCTCCACTACCTCGAACCTCAAAATCACGCTTGGCGATCTGTCCTTAGGTCTCTCTTTT